AGGGCAATCACTTGAGCGGCTTCTTCAGAGCTGGTGTCCATCTTTACTTGTTCTTACTTGGGTTACTTATTCACGTGTGTTCACTGCAAAGTCTAAATTACGACTGACCCATATTTCATCCAGATCGACCCTTTTATACCCTTTTTAGGTGGTGTAACTAGCGTCCTTACTAACGAGCATTTGACTGTTTATTTTTGACGCTCTATAATGATAAATGTTTTAATGATTTCATGATTTTTTTATTAATAATGTAAAGCTATTCAAATACCCATTTCAAACATACCAATATTTATATAAATATAATTCGTTTCTAGCCATTACAGCCATTTTTCGCGCAAACTCAGAGAGGTGCGATTTTTGTGACGCTGAGTGTATATCACAAACACGATTTACATGCTCTTTCCAGTTTAGCCGATCGTCAATTATTAGACCAAGATAGGTGTGCTTATTTCCAATTTCTATGGCATCCCAATTACAGGGTATCGAATTGTCAGTATTTTGTATATGAAGGCAGTGATGTGTGTGCGCTATTAGTTTAAGTATAAAAGAACTTCTGTTGTGGCTTGTACTTATATACATAAGTTTAGTTTTGGCAGCATTGAGTACTAAACCGACGTCGTGTGACCACTTCGTCAGTATGTCAAACTCTTTTTGAAGTTTCATTAGTACCTCCTGTATACTACTACTTAACCCAGTGTACATAACAGTAATATTTTCCACATATTGGCATTATCATGTACATAATATATAATTAGCCTTGAACTTCACAAAACATTTAAAATACAGACATCATATTCCTTACCAGCAATATCTTTTAGAAAATAATTTATTTTTATCACTTATTCAATACATAAATGTCAGAACGTAACAAAATTCATATTCACATTTTTCAAATTCTGATTACTGACCTTCAATTCGGCACCACCACATATTATATTGATTAAAAAATTATGAACTGCACAAAACATATATCAAGTATTTGCACAAACACTCACAGCCGACTCATATCTGCTATAACAACTAGATATATAAGGTAAGATCAGAGGACAATTTTAAGGCTGACACACACTATGAGATATGTGAATATTTATACTAACCATTACTATTATTTAAACCATAACACTGATGTACAAGTTTGTGATATTATTATACAGTTGAGAGTGGATTATCCGAATGTCAATCAACCGAACGACCACTTAACCGAACCGCTACCATACCATGCTGAGATGCGACAACCGCAGTAGTCCGCCAGTCAGAAACCTTGTTGTTCCAAACACGTAATGCCTATTGTTTAATCCTCACAACAGTTCAATTTTCACGGAAGTTTTTGTACCCACTGTGAAAGTCCATCAGCTAAAGAATAGCGAAAGGGAGAAAAATTTATTACTCCTTGGTAATGCATCAGCTCATCTATCATGTGACATCCTAAATAAAAAGGATGAATTTATAAAAATGATGCTTCTTCCACCTAACATAACCTTATTACATCCCATGAACCAAGGTGTTATTGAGACTTTCAAGTGATATTACAGAAAAAAATTGCTACGTAAGTTGTTGCTAGAGCAATTACGAAGGAGAAGAGCAGGAAGAAGAAAGTCTAATTAAAAATTATAAAAATATGATTTAAAAGATGCATCCTACATGATCAGAGTAGCTCAAAAATAGTCAAAAATATTCCTACTGCCTCTGAAGCGTTTAAATGCTCAGATACTGCTTTGATGATTTGAAGCTCAAGATGAAAGCAATCAGTATCAGATATCTGTCCCGAAAAAAGTGCGTGACTTAGCTGCACATAAGAGAGTAGTTTCGCTTCGATAGACCAAAATTAAGGACCTCTTTAAACAATAATTATATAGGAATACCGTGTGTTCAATACTGATTGTACAATATTTTTTTACTAAGCTATCTGACTTTAATTATAATTGTACATAAAATTATACAGTTCGATTAATACAAATAAACCGGTTTTCTGAACAACTATGTCCCCCAATTAGTTCGGATAATTGACGCTCTACTGTATATAGTGTGCAGGCTGATGGCTTCAATAGTCTTGTGATCATAAGTACAACTATTAAACATGTGGTCCCAGGTTCAAATCCTGGATTAAACCAAAGCCAGTTGCTAAGTTTTTCTATCAAGCTCAGTGACAACCTGGAGTTGCAATGTTGATGGTGTTTAACTATTGTGCCTCAGAAAGCACATAAAGCTGATGGTCCTGTATCTAATCTGTCTATGGTTGTGTCAGATTGCCATCCTATTAGACTATGAGAGTGTACCTGTACTTACAAACCCACTCATGCACTCTAATGCTGCACAGATGGCTTACTAGTCTATGTTGAGATTGGCCACCATGATTGAAATTTGGTCTTGAGGACATTATTTGTAAACCGATCCCGAAAGAAGACAGATGATAGTACTAAGTGCTAACAATACTTTTGATGATGGGACAAAAAGAAAATCGATCTTGTAGCATCTCGAATTTTACATTTGATATAATTAAGGTGACCATTTTTATTGACTAGAAAGCGGACAACATGTCATATCAATTTTTGTTTGGGTATTTTAACAGATAGGGTTTTCTGATATAGGGATTAGGGTTTGAGAATTCCCGACAATTTCAAAGTCCCGGGACACGAGACAGGCAACAATCAAAATCCCGGGAATTCCTGAGACTTTGAGGATTTTTTTTAAATATTTTTAAAGAGAGTTAATTGACTTAATTTCTGGTGAAACGTATTATAAAAGGTATTTTTTTGTAAGAATCAACATTTACTAAACAGAAAAATTGTGTGGTGTGCAAATATTTTAACAAGCGTATAACTCGTTGCTGTCTTCTCTCTTCTAGGCGAGCTTTCAACCTTTCGAAGCACCGCTTCACCAAATCATTATTAGTCGTTGTTGATTGAATTTTTATTTGTGCAACACGTCAATTATTGCTTCAGCTGTAAGTAATTAAGCGTTTTGTCAGCCTAAGGACTGCAAGGAAGAAAATTGTCTTCATTCCACTTGTCTAACATGTTTAAATCAATAAACGCTTTCTTCTCGCAATTCTTGGGCTTCAGAAACCCTTCCGCCATCACAATTATGAAATTCAACCTTCTTTTAACTTCCATTAGTTAAACTGAGTTCACAATCCTAATCCAAATGTTATTATTATTATTAGGTTACGTAGTAGACCAAGTAATGATTCAATAAACTAACAGATGGCGCTAGGCTCCTTCGATATGTAATCATTTTTATTTGAAAATAAAAATGGTTACATATCAATTTTGACAATCTTGTCTCGTCTCGACCTGAAGTTCCGGGACTCGAGACAACTAAAATTACAAAAAGTCCCGGGACTTCGAGACACGAGACGTCCAGGGACCCAAACCCTAATAGGGATTAAGTTGTAAATTATTGTTATGATTTACATTGTTATGACGGGTTTCGCATCGTAAAACTAGGTATTGTTGGTTTTTGAAGAAATTACTTTAATATTTAAAACAGAATGTATGGTGATGAAAACTCAAAAAACAATATTGAGTAATATATTATTCTCATAAGAAGATATTTATTTCATGAATATTTATTTGACAAACAGAATATTAAAGACAGATGCTGCTGGGCTGTGCCAGAATGACCAAGCTAGACAACTGAGAGAGATAACTGAAATTCGGACTGATTATACCTATGAAAAATTAAAGAAGACCACAGTTCCAACACCTTTTTATAATAGCATCAGTAATTAATATTACAATACTAACATAGCTCAGCACCTGTAAAAACTTTTGAATGAATGCCATATGACTAATTATAAAGTAAAGTAAAATTATACAGTGCCAAAAGAATAGTAATTTTGACCAATGGTAGCTATTGACTTCTAGCATGTCTGTTTAGTGTAGATCAACTTTCCAAGTAAGAAGTGAATTCCATTTTCTCTAAATATTTTTTTTATAGAATAAGGGTGACAAACGAGCACACAGTCCATCCGATAGTGTATGCTGTGGCCCATAGACATCTACATGTATCCTTAACTAAGAATCAAAATGCAGATGCATTGTTATCCCTGAGAACTAAGGACTAAGGAAATGAGGCATTCCATGGCTCATTTCCAGTAAAAAGGGTCTCAAGATGTCTACACTCACCACACAATAACAGCAGCATTAAGCTGCTATTATACACGGGTATTCTGTGATTTATTTCAAATTAAAACTATTTAAACTACTAACATTGCATTCTCTACTATAATTTTATTGATTCCCACTATGGCAAAGTAAGTGCAAAGGCAATTTTTTTCATTAAATTCTATCAATGCCATTAACATAACAAATATTCATATTAACCACACCTAGTAAACTAAAAATTGTATATAATAGCTATATATAAGAGCTAGAGTTAGGAGAGTTGCCTGTCACAACCATAGTAGAATGGTGGGTATTGAACCCACAACCTTTGAATTTGCAGTACGCACCCTTAACCATTAGGCTACTGTCACTTAAAATTAAGCTTATATATAAGAGAAACCTATAATTATATTCCATCAAAACCACCAAATTATTATATAGATATTCCAAAAAAACCAGACTTCCACCAGAGCTTCCTTCAAGAAATACTTTTCGATTTAGCAGTCAGAAGATCTTATGTGAAATTACAAAAATATAAAAACATTATTATTTGTACACAACATGATGGGAGACATACAACTATGGTAATTACAAACATAACAATAGACAACACATTACTCATTTATCTAATTGTAAAGGGATCAATATATCATAGTAAACAAAGAAATGTTTGATTTTTTACTTCCAATGTCAATAAAATGTTTAGTTCACAAAAGTAAACAAACAACGTAAAAACGAAATTGCGTACACGCAAATATTTTATACATAAACATCATAAAGTTCGAAAACAAAAACAATATATGATCAATAATAAAGAGTTAATTATTAAGACGAGTTCTGTTATTAGGTAGGTATTCATCTTTATTGTACAAGGACCACGCTATAAAAACTCACCGTTTTACGACCATGATAGAATCCGTCTGCTCGCTTGTGGACCCTATGATTCGAACTATGCTTTTCAAATAACACTAATATTATCTGAAACACCATGAATTACATTAAATCACTATCAATTCAATTTAATGAATTCACACATCGCTACAAGGCGATAAACGCACTGCTTTTCATTATTCCACAATCCCAGAAGGATTTACACTTCACTTTCAGGAACATGAATTAGTATAATCGAAAAATGTTTACTGTAATGACGAATTTAGAAAAAAGCACAACTTATTGAGGGGATCGTTATAAAACAAATACAAATTCGCTCAAGACGTAACAAATCGTGTATTCAAAAACACAAACTAAAATGTAATCGTGTTTTCGATGGAGTTTTGGCTAACTTCATGTTGTATTACTAAACCATAGAGTAAATTATTATAGACTGAGGAGTTAGAATATTAAACATAGACATGGCAGTACCAAAGAGTATAGTAGTACGGGATATACCAAAAAAACGGCACGTTTACATTATCGGCACGAGCAACTCGCTGAGTTCGTGGACGAACACGACGCGTTTACATACTCGTATATATTCATTCAATATAGTAGAACTTTTAAACATGGATGACTTGCGACTGGCTGCCACTACTTTATGTCTACTTGATATTTATACTCACAAATATTTCTTTTGGGGATGTGGGGCGGCCCCGAATAGATACGAGTAAACTGACGACCCGGCATGACATGGAGGAAATCGATGGATGCAGGTGGCTCAGGACCGTACTTTGCGGCACTCCTTGGGTGAGACCTAAGTTCAGCAGTGAAATTGTGAAGGTATGTAATGATGATGATGATAATGACATATCTATTATCATTAAAATATAATTAAAACTGATTTACACTGTCTAAAACCGCATATCACGGGTTCTCCTTGAAAACGTTCTAAAAAAATGGTATATTCATTACACCGATCCATCACAGTAGGTAAGTATTTTTGTAATTATTATTTTACTAAAATATTTTACAAGAAAAATAGTAACCACCTGCAACAAGGTTCACTTCAACGACAAGTATGTAAACACCGACACGAATCTATAGCGAGTGAAGAACAGGTGAAATCACGGTTATTATTATATCAAATTTTTTTTAAATCAGACGTTGGCGGCATCAGACATCTGTGCCTACCACTGCATTACAACGTATTAGAACAGAGAGGTTACACGATGAAAGTGTAAATAACAAGTACAAACGTAGACTGAAAGAAAATATAAGTGGTTTGGATGAATTGTGTATGAATGGGTTGGACTTGGAGAATGTGTGGAAAAATGTTAAGAAAGGTTTGGTGGATGCAGCTACCGAAGTACGTGATGTTAGTAAGAGAACGAATGAAAATAATAATAATACGTTTGGTGGGATGATGAGTTACGTATGGAGGTTGAAGCAAAGAAGAGAGCATGGCTAGATTTGCTGGCAACCAAGGCTGGTAATTCTGGCGGTACCAATGATGATATTGAAAGAAAAAAGCAGTCTTTGAACGTATAAATAAGAGAGTAAGAGATGTAGTTGAAAGAAAAAAGCAAGAAAGAACTGATAAGAATGATAGAAGAATATCGGATAACTTCCAGGCAAATATTAAAATGTTCTGGAATCTTGTAAGAACTGCGAGGGGAAATTAAAAATAGAATTAATTGAATGCTTTACGAGACGAGAATGGCTGTATTCTGAATTATGAAGTTTTGAGTTTAAAGAGATGGAAGGAATATTTTGAAAGCGTGTTTCTGAGTGTGGAGACGTATGAATTAAATGAAATAGAAACTCCGAAAGAAGAGGAGAGAAAATATAAATAGATAAGTAACGGCAGAATCGGTAAGGGACGCCCTAGATGAAAGCTTGTCGTCCAAATTGGCGATCTATTGAGAAGGGGCCAAATTAAGAGAACCCTCAACCGACAAGCATGTAGGTAAAATACTAAAATATAAAACAATCAATAAAAATTAAAATATTACCAGCTGATTATAGGGCCAATAAACGCGCGGACGCTGAACTCTTTTATTTAACAATGCATAGGTATTAGTGTACTTCGCTCGCTTTATCCGTCCCTTTCACACACGCGCTGCCGCCGCCCAGCCTACCCGCGACGCCTCGCTCTGTGCAATTTACACATGTTCAGCGTTGCCAACATGTGGGGAACTCCCCAAATTATGGGGAATTTAAAGTTGGTTGGGGATTGTATTATGCGGGGGAAATTCGATAGCCCCGGCCAAGTCAGAACCTTTTTTCAAGAAATCTAAATCCTTATCTTAACATTTTTGTTAAGTTACTCATGAATATCGATAGACTCACTTTTTATTAATTATCTTCATTGCATCACATTTAATTTGCCGATTTATTTCGGCAACTTTTGTGTGTCATTTAATACTTTTCATTTGTTTATTTTTGTAATTTAAGTAGAGTAAATGCAGATACTGTGGTATTTTTGACAGCAACAAGGAAAGAAATTAAAAATGGAAAGTGTAAAAATAATCCGTAAAAAAGAAAAAAAATGTTATACTTTTACTTTTATTTAAATATTTTTATAAAAAAATATATTTTTTTATAATGATTGATATAATATATATTTATTAACTATTATTAAAAAGTTATGTAAAAGATCGCTGTAGAAGAAAAACCATCTATTGTTATAAAGTACTTTATTCATTTAACAACAAAAAGCATTAATTTATAACATAAATAAAGAATCGAGTGATAACGACACCGAATAAGTACGTACTTATTCACAAGATAAAACTTTATTTTCAATATTATATAAGAACTTTATTTTTATTCTGAACTTTATGTTTAACTACTTACACATCCACGCACAATAAAATATTTCTCCATTTTATAATGTTTCTTTTTATCAAAAATTAAAAAGTTACGGAGAATGAAAATTTTCTCACCATTGCTGCAAAGAAAATTTGTACATCATTCAACTAACTTCATCTACTTGTATTCATAAACAGCTAACTTCGCAGCCACTACTCACCGACGGCAGCGCCGCTATAAATTCTACAAATTTTCATGGACAGGCGGGCTAAACTTAAGTACGTAGCGATCGTTCTCCTGTTCTCTAACCTCCATGATCTGATCGGATAAATAAATTGAGACAACTCAGCGATCGCAGGCTTCACTTATTTTGTTCATATTTCTGGGACATTATTTTCTACAGCGATCGTTCTCCTTCTCTCTAACCTCCATGTATGTGACGTTACTTTTTTTTTATAGAAGAGGGGGCAAAAGAGCATGCGACTCACCTGATGTTAAGTGACTACCACCGCCCATGATCAACCGCAAAAATTGCAGGTGCGTTGCCGGCCCTTTAGAAAGGAGTAAGCTCTTTTCTTGAAGGTCCCCAGGTCGTATCGGTCCGGAAAAATCGCCGGTGGTAAACTATCCCACAGAGAGGTTGTACGCGGAAGAAAACTCCTCTTGAAGCATACATTGGTGGACCGCCAACGGGAACATCATTCCATGTGCGGCTGAACCTGCGCCTTGTAAAGTTGCAGGCGGTGTGCCGGCATGAAATACTGTCCTGCTCTGCTGAGCACGCCAAGCTTTTTACAGGCCAATTTAGTCTTCTTTTCCAAGTGACCATGAAACTGCACGTCACTCGATATGTCGACGCCGAGGATTCCGATACTGGCTGAGGCAACAAGGAGAGTGCCTTGAAACTGAGGAGATACGACAAACCTTTTAGCGGTTAACGCGCTAACTTGTGTCTTCTGGGGGTTAAACTGGACTAGATTTAGTCGCCCCCAATCCGAGACTCTGTTCAGCAAAGACCCGACTTCAGACACAAGTTTGTCCTGGCACTCGGAGACATTTTCCCGAGATATATTGGCTCGGCCGGTGTAAAGAGCATCACCACTGCTGCCATCTGCATAGCAATGAATGTTACGGGTTTGCAACATATCGTTGATATGCAGAAGAAACAGCGTTGGCGATAGCATGCAGCCTTGTGGAACACCAGCATTAATAGGCTTGCAATCGGAGCTTGCACCGTCTACAACGGCCTTGATGCTCCGATCTGCAAGAAAGCTGGTGATCAAATCACACAATTTCTCGGGAAGCCCATAGGAAGGGAGCTTCGAAAGAAGCACTTTGTGCCAAACCCGATCGAAGGCCTTCGCAATGTCGAAACTAACGGCCAATGCCTCACCCTTGGACTCTACTTCCTCCGCCTATATGTGAGTTAGGTAGACCAGAAGAAAATGATTTCTTATATTTACGCGAACACTACACATTGAAATAATACTAGTTTTTACGGAATTTATCGCGTATATTTTAACTTTTTAAATACCCGACGTTTCGAACGCTTTACAGCACTCATGGTCACGGGTCACATCTCAGTCCTGCCCGTGACCATGAGTGCTGTAAAGCGTTCGAAACGTCGGGTATTTAAAAAGTTAAAATATACGCGATAAATTCCGTAAAAACTAGTATTATTTCAAAGACCAGAAGATCACCAGCTGACCGACCACGGCGAAAACAGTATTGGCGGTCACTAATCAGCTGGTGATCCTTAAGGTAACTCATGAGCTGGCAGTTTATAATGGACTCCATTGTTTTGGAGAACAAGGAGGTGATGGCGATAGGCCGGTAGTTGGACGAGTCTGAGCGGTCGCCTTTTTTAGGGATCGGGTGGCCGAAAGCCATCTTCCAGGATTTTGGGAATACGCCTAGGGAGTAGAAGTACCGGAAAAGACGCGTTAAAACGGGTGCCTACTCTGGACCACACGTCCGCAGCACAATTGGGGGGATTCCGTCAGGCCCACTCGACTTGTGGATGTCCAGGGAGAGGAGTGCTTTGCGAACCGAGCGCTGTGTGAACTGCACTTCCGGCATGGAGCACTCACACCGCGGGATGGTCGGCGGCGTACTCCCCCCGTCATCGAGAGTCGAGTTGGACCTAAAAAAAGAGCCTAGAAGATCGGCTTTCTCCTTTGCGGTATGGGCCAGTGAGTCGTCCTCCCTATGCAGGATGGAA